GCGGAGCCGGCGCTCCCGCGGCCGCGGACGACGGCGCAGCGGGGGAGGAGGTGCAGGTGATTCGGGAGGTGCCTGAATCTGTTGTTTCCGTGAATCAGGGTCAAGGGCAGGGTCAAGGGGCGGGAGCGGAAACCGCCGCAGCAGCGGCGGAAGGGAAGAAGGCGGAACCTTCGGTTGCGTCTTCCGCCCCAGTTTCCGCGCCTGCTGTCCTTCCGAGTCCTGCTGGCGGGGAAGCGGCTGCGGGGGCACCAGCTGCGACAGCTGTAGCACCAGCTGTATCAGCGGCACCCGCAGCAGCAGCAGCAGCAGCAGCACCGCCTGCAGCAGCGGTAGCGCCTGTAGCAGCTGTAGCTCCAGCAGCGGCAGCAGCAGCTCCAGCTGTAGCGGCAGCTCCTGCCGCTGCCGCTGCGTCCGATGAACCCGCACCCAAGAAGTCGTATGCGTCTATTGTAAGTCCCCTGAATTCGTTTCTCAGGTTAATATCCCCGTTCCTATAAACCCTCAACCCGTGCCTTACTTGGTTCACCTTCCGCGTCACGTTACGCCATCCTTCCCTCCCTCGTCTCCCACCTTAGTTTCAAGCCATACGAACTCAGTCTGTCTGCTGCAGCGTACGCTGTGGGCCCGTTCCCCCCACCTTTCCCCTCCCCCTCCTTCCCGCCTCTCTGCAGACATCCCTCTTCTTCTCCCCCCCGCCTCGCCTCCCAACCCCCCGCCCCTTCCCATCCCCCCCCACCCACCCGCAGCTGCAAGCCATGCGCGCGCAATCCGCAGCTGCCTCCCCCGCGGGCGCAACTTCGGCGCCTGCCTCCGCCACCCCCCCCGCAGCTGCACCCCTGGGGGCGGGTGCGCCCAGGCAGCCGCCACTGCTCCCTGCCGCAGCAATTGGGGGCGCTGCGGCGTTTGGAGGGCAAGAGGCAGCACCGTCTCAGTCAGCAGCTGGGTTCTCTGCTGGTTTGATTGCCCCTGCTCCTGGGTTCGCTGCTGCTGGTGGTGCTGCTGGGGCTGGAGAGGATACCATTGCTGCTGACGAAGGTAAGAACGATTATTATTGCGATGACCGTAGGGCAGGGCGGGGGAGGGTTCCTGCTTGCTGTAGGGGAGGGCCCCGCTGTGTTTTTGCGCTTCACTGCCAAGGAGATAGCAAAGATTTTTAGCAAAACACTGCTTCTCATGTGTCCCCCCCGTGTGCCTCACAGCTACAGGGGAGGGGCGCGCTGTGTTTGTGCGCAACCTGCCAGTGCTAGTGCGCATCAATCACTGCCAGAGAGACAGCAGAGCACTTAGCACTCAACCCATCCTTTCCTTTCCTTCCCCTGCTTGTGCCATGCGTGTGCCTCTGCTCTGTGTGCCTCTGCTCTGTGTGCCCTTTGTTCCTCTCAGCCGCAGGGGAGGGCCGTGCTGTGTTTGTGCGCAACCTTCCAGTGAGGATTACTGCCAAGGAAATAGCAGAGCACTTCAGCCAGTTTGGAGCAGTGAAAGCGGATCGCATTCAAATTCGTGGCAACAAGGTGCAGTTTCCCTTCGTGCGTAGAATATTTTCTATCTATGAGTTGACCATTTAATCCAGATTCGAATATTTCTTTGCCCTTGCTCGGTATCACGTTGATTTGTTGCCTTTGCCCTTTCCCACCAGGCCACCAGTCCTGCTACAGTGTACGCATTTGTGCAGTTTGAGGAGGCCGAAGCGTTGAGTTGGCTTATAACATTCATGGTGGCGTATATAACATTATTGTGATCCCATTCTTATTTCGGCCTCTCTCCATCAGGCCAACAACCCCGCAACTGTGTACGCGTTTGTGGAGTTTGAGGAACCTGCAGCAGCACAAGCGGCAGTAGAGATTAATCCTCTCTTGTGTTGCCATTCCCTTCGTGCCCTCTCCCCATCAGGCCAACAACCCCGCTACTGTGTACGCGTTTGTGGAGTTTGAGGAACCTGCAGCAGCACAAGCAGCAGTGGAGGTTAGTAGCAGGGTTCGGGGTTTTGGCTTAGTACCTTTCGTTTGCTGCAACAATAGTTGGGACGTATTGTGAAAGCTTCTAAGTGGTGAGCCTTTCGATTCTCCTAAACCTTGGACGTCATTGCTCAAACCCTTCATGTGTGTGCGTGTGGGCAGAAACAAACGATCATGGTTGGGAATTTCCAGGTGAAGATCGAGGAGAAGAAGGCTACAAGCACTAACCGAGGTGAGCCCCTCGAAAGAAGAAGCAGCTTCCAAGTAAACAAAACAAACAAGCAAGACAAGGTATGCCGTTATGGTGTGTCATCTGGTTGGCCATGGGCAGAAGCAGTATATCACGCTGGGCAAATCATACCATCGCACGGGAGGTGCGCGGATTGCCAATTCCACAACAGCTGCAGCAACTTCAGTGGTGCTGCTGCCGGTGGCGTTACTGGTGCTGATGGTGCTGGTGTTGATGTTGGTGCTTGTGATTGCAGCGATTTTCTAGAAACTTGAAGAATCATTTCCGTTCTCTTCTGTCTCTCCCCTCCATCCCCCACCTCTGTGTTTCCCCACTCCCCCAGGCTCATATCGTCGCACAGGAGGCGGCCGAGGCGGCTCGGATCGCCAATTCCGCGACGGCAGTAGCAACTTCACTGGTACTGCTGCTGCTGCTGCTGGCGCTGGCCTTGGTGGGACTGGTGTTGGTACTGCTGCTGGTGCTGTTGGAGCTGGTGCTGGTGGGAGTGTCGGTGTTGTCAGCAACAGGGGCGGGCGTGGGGGGTCAGGGTTCGGTTCTCGGGGTCAGCAGCAGCAGGTGCAGGGGCAGGGACAATGGCAAGGGCAGGGACAGGCAATGCAGCAGGGACAGGGGTTGACCGGGCAGGGCATTCAGGGGCAAGGGTTTCAGCAGAATCAGGGGTTACAGGGGATGCAGGGGTTTCAGCAGGGGCAAGGGGGGGGTGATGGGGTGAGTGGGGCGGGGCAGGGGGGATGGTCATCGAGTGGTGGAGGGAGGGGGAGAAGAGGGGGACAGGGACGGTCAGGAGGGAGTAGAGGAGGGGGTCAAGGAGGGGGGGTTGCAGTGGTGGCTCCATCGTAAGGACCTGCTTGGGTTGTCGTAAGTGACTGACTGCAGCGATTCAAGTGGTGCATTTCATTGTCATCATGGGCTGCGTGCTAGGTCATTTCTTCATCATTGCATTTCCATTGTCATCATTGCAGCTTGGGTTTGTGTGAGATGACATGTCATTTCATTGGTATACTCATTGGTTTTCATTTTCTGCAAGTCTGTAGGGGAAGAATTGCTGCTTGTTCAGGTTACGAGCTAAGGTTCATGAGTTGAACCGGACTTTGGTAGGGGAGAGGCCATCAGCACGTAGATGACAAGTATGGCTCACAGAAAATGGTGGGCTGGGCTCTCAGTTCGTTTTGTGCTGTATGCGTCACGACAAGCGGGCCAGTGCATTGTCTTGCTGCGACAATTAGTGTAATGAGGATGATGTAGTAGGCATACGGATGTGGAGATGTAACACATAAAATGGCTCAACGTGACACTTTTCAGCTGAGGACTGGAAGACTTGTCTTAGATTGGGATCTATACATAACACACAGAGTGTAGCTTCTTCAGCGAAACGCAGAGACGCAAAACTAGAAACGCAGAGACGCATATGTTCCGCGAGACGCAGAGATTCGCCCACCAGCAGCTCGAACAACCAGAATGCAGCATTTGCAGCCTCTCGCGAGACGAGCGACTGGAGGTCTTTGTGACTCGGTAACAAGGTCGAAAGTCGCACAACGACGAACGCCAGCTTGAGCTCAAATCTCCACCGTCCAGTACGGTACCAGTGAACTGAAAGGAGAGAGTCACAGGGAGAAACATCAGCTATGGATGGAGCGAGCGCGGGTTTTTCACGTCTAGGTTTCCTTCTTGTGCCCTCCCATCCCATCCCTTCACAAGCTGCTTTCGTTCACCCCCAGGGCCTCATTCTTTCTTTTCCTCTAGAACTGGTACCCTTCGCCGGCTGTTTTTGTGGTCTAAGATTAGAGATGCCTCGCACACACATCAATGATTTATCTGACGAGCTTCTAGTGAAGATCTTCTGGCAGAGCGATCAGCCAATTCGTTACCAACCTAACATCGACGCTCTGTGGACCTGCTGTGGTACTAGGCCGAGATACCTCCATTCAAAACGCGAAACGCTGAGACCCAACGAGGGTCCTTTACCAGCCGCTCCAGTCTCCGCAAACGCCTCCTTTAGTCTGCTCATCGCTTCAGTCTGTCGTCGCTGGCGCCGTCTCGCTCGGCGCTACGTCTCCACACTTGTTGTCAAAGGCAGCCTTAAAGACGACCTTTTAGTGTCCCGCGTGGAGATTATGACCGCTATCACTTGCTTCCCGAACCTCACTCATCTTGAAATCAGCAATGTCTTCTTAGGAACCATAAACGACGAGTTCCTGAATCACCTCGCCTCGTCAAGTCCAAAGCTGAAAATTCTTGGCCTATCCAGCGACTCGGAAGAATTGTACGCGGGTGGTGATAGGGAGGATGTGCAGCCTCTAGCTACATCTTCTCTTGACGCTCTATTCCGGCGGTGCACTCAACTGGAACAGCTTAATCTCTCCTGTGTCCATGACGAGACGGTCCTGCCAGCGTCGTTTTTTAAACTAAGCCGTCTCCACACTCTTTCTCTTTTTCAGAGTGACTCGTTATGTAGACGCCAGGAACTCGTAGAGTTATCTTCACTGACCGTTCTGGACATTTCTGTTACAGGAATGGTTTTTCAGGAGCTCGTCAACCTCACTGCCTTAAGTGGATTAACTAGCCTTTCACTTCCGGATGCATTCTGCTATCGTAACGATTCTACCGATTATTCGTTTTCCATCGCACAGTTTCCTTTCCTGACATCACTGAAATTCTTGGATAGCTGTCCGCGATTCGACCGACTGTTTCCTTCCGGCTCGCCATGCACCACCCTCGAAGAGCTATGGATCACCAACTGTGGAGAACTCGAGCGTTTTCCTGACGACGTTGCCACGCTGTTGCCATGTCTTCGCATGCTAAGTCTGGATCAATACTCTATCCATGCGCAGCTGCCTGAAGAGCTTGAGCTACTCTCCTTAACCCGTCTCGAACTTCTAAAGATTTCCAGCTGTAAAGGGTTATTCAGCTTGCCCGAAGACTTCGGATGCCTGACTGCCCTAAAGACTTTGGTTCTGGAGCACCTTCCACTCGCGGATCTCCCTCAATCCGTGTGTCGTCTCTCGTCACTGGAAACGCTGTTTTTGATCCATTGCCCGGAGATTCGCGAATTGCCGGTGGGATTCTGCTGCCTGACAGCTGTCAAGACGCTGTGGCTCGTGGAGTTGCCTCACATCATGCTTCCAGCGTGTATCGGAGGGTTCAAACAGCTCCAGACTTTTTACCTGAATGACAATCAGACGCAGCTGCTGCTTCCATCCTCTTTCACTCAACTATCTTCCCTGTCGCGGTTGGAACTTAATAGCTGCTCGCTTCTTCAACTTCCGGAGGACATTCAGAAGCTAAGCAGCTTACGAGAATTATTCATCATTTCCTGCCAGATTGAGGAGCTTCCAGATTCGTTGACGGGCATTTCTGGTCTTGAAATCCTGGCCGTTAATTGCTGCGCAAGGCTACGAGCTGTACCATCCGGGCTGGATGCTTTCTCAAGGCTTGAAGTGCTGAAGTTTGAGGAATGTGAGAACCTGACGGAATTGCCTGAATTCCTGCCACAATCTCTTGAGGAGCTCAACCTTGGGAACTCCAAAAACGTCACACCTCTGCCGAATGTCACCGTGCTGCCAAAGCTGAGGACGCTGAACCTGAAACTGGTTGAGGTTGCTTGGGCCGTGACAGCCAGCAAGGGCTTATCTCGTCTGGAGCATCTGTATCTGGAGTCGTGTAACGCCAGGAAGCTTCCATTTCCGTTGGTCTACCTTTCCCAGCTTCGTACTTTGACAATTGGGAGCTCCTGGAGGGTGAAGGCGCTCCCGAATTTTGGGCCCTCGATGGTGCAGCTGCGCCAGCTGCGAATTCACGATGTCAATGAGCTGAAAGAGCTGCCAGCAAATATTGTGGAGCTTCCGCGTTTGACGATTCTGGAGGTTCATGCTGCGAAGCTGGTTTCTCTTCCTGAAAATCTGGGTGCCTTATCCAGGCTGCAAGAGCTGAACCTGTCCAAATGCTCTGCCCTAGAGCATCTGCCTGCTTCTGTGACCCAGCTCGCCTTTCTTTGTCGCCTGGATGTGGAAGACAGCCTGATCCGCTCACTGCCGCCTGGGTTTGAACGGTTGGTCAGGCTCCATTCACTGAACCTGAAGGGCTGCAAGCAGCTGGAATCACTGCCTGAGAATTTCACCCAGCTCAATATGCTGCGGGACCTTTATGTTGAGGGGTGTTCTAAGTTACTTGATGCTGAAGGTTTTGTGCGTCCTCGTGGCGTGGATGGGATGATAGGTTTGAAAATATTCAATATGCGTTAGCCAACCAAAGCTGTTTGCTGATGCGTGCCACCTTGTTGAAGTTACTCTTTCTTGTACTACCTGTTAGTGTGTGAATTTGTTAAGAGTGGCCAGACGTGTGGTAGTGGGCGGTTGTGTAGTTGGGTATAATTGGCTGATAAATGTGCAACAATAATGATAGCAACAATCCTGCTGGTGATATTCTAGCGCCCAAGAACGGGTCATATTCTAGCGCTCATTTTCTCCCTCGTCAGGGAGAGTATGGGCGGTTATCCACTGGCATCACAGCCGTTTCTCAAAGCTGCGGTCTACATACTGGGAGGGGTTTTTGGGGGCATTTGTTGTGCTAACCCTTCGGCGTATGTTCATTGGATTGCGAAGTGAATGTTTCCCTCAATCACCAGTACGATGAAGTCGAACAAGTATGGCGAGCCCAACCATATTTCGTGAAAGGGTTAGGTTGGGGGAAGGAACGGCGGAGAAGGTTGGATGAGGGGGAAGAAAGGGCGGAGGGGAAGGAACAGTAGCGCGTAACCTGACACACCAAGTTCTAAACCTGTGTCTACTTTCACATCGACACCTTTCACTAGGACCTACATACTAACCTTTCATCACGCGCATGCAAGCCTAAACCAGCACGATCCGCGCTAAAAAAAATAGGCGACTGTGGCGAACAGAGCACAGCAGGTTTCGAAGCTGCAGTGTCGACAAGGCGCACAAGCTGATGTGTTACACGGGAAGTGTCTCCAGCGTTAGCTCCCTACTAATCAACGACGGTAGCAGAAGGAGCGCCATATTGATATAGAGCTGCTTCTCGATCAGCATTTTCTATCGTTCCCGCTCACTTCCGCGACTGCTCCTCCCTCCCTCCCAAACCGTCTGTCCGTTTTCGCTCTCCGCAGCTTTCCACGACGTGCGAGCTTCGACTCGTCCAGGCGACGAAATGACGGTCGCTCGCCTTCCCGCGCTCCTCGCGCTCGCGCTCCCGCTGCTGCTGCTGCTCGTCGCCAGCCTGCTGGTTACCCCGCTGCGCGCCTAGGACGTCGACGCCATTCTTGATGTGATAATGACGCGCGGCCAGAATGACGAACGGCGGCGGGGGGAGGGTGTGTGTGTGGGGGGGGGGGGGAAGAGGGTGGGCGGAGTGAATGCTGCGCGCCAATTGACGAGCAGCGCCGATTGACGAGCAGCAGCTCGTGTGGCGGCGCGCCGAAGAATGACGGATTTCTCGATCGGGTAAGGGGCGAGAGTGACGAGGAGCGCGTGGGGGGTGAGGGCTGAGGGGGGTGAATTCTGCGCGCCGATGAGGACCACGCGGGGCAGCGCCGTGCGGGGGAATGCTGCGCCGCGCGGGGGAATGCCGCGTGCGGTAGACGGTTGTACTCATTCATACGCATTCCTTTCCCCATCCCCCCCCCTCGCTTCATTCAAGTCCCTTCCCCTGGCGTCACCTCCGGCTGCACGCCTTTTGAGACGTCTCAAGCGTGCGCTCTCCTCTCCTCTCCTCTCCTCTCCTCTCACTGCCTCCCCTCTGCTCTCCTCTCACTGCCTCTCCTCTCCTCTCCTCTCACTGCCTCCCCTCTGCTCTCCTCTCACTGCCTCTCCTCTCCTCTCCTCTCACTGCCTCTCCTCTCCTCTCCTCTCACTGCCTCTCCTCTCCTCTCCTCTTCTCTCACTGCCCGCCACGAGTCTCTGGCCCAGTGAGTATTTTTCGAGAATTCTGAAAAGTGTTTTTTGGTGTCTCATACGTTTTTCCCCGCCTCACCTCTCGCGCGCCAAGTCAACGGGGCCTCTGGCCCAGCCCCAGGGAAGAGGAGCACGTGGGAATGACAATTTCCGTTTAGGCTGCTACACTGGATTTTTCGATCTCTTTGTTCGAGCTGCTGCACACAGGCATACTCCAAGCCTTGCACATATATCTCTCCCCTTCCCCCCGTTTCCCTTCCCCCCGTTTAGCATTCCCCCATTTCCCTTCCCCCTATTGTTTCCCTTCCCCCCGTTTCCATTTCCCCCATTTCCCTTCCCACCATTTCCCTTCCCCCGTCTCCCCTCCCCCCATTTCCGTTCCCCCCTGTTATCCTCTCATGCACTCTCTCCCTCACTCCCCCTTCCGTTTCCCCTTCTTTCTCCCTTTCTTTCTTTGCATCTCAACCTTTCCCCCTGCTGCATCTGGCAGAGCTGCGGAGCTTTTTTCCTTTCACCCTGCCATTGCCCTGCCACTCTCCTCTTTCCCTGCATGCCGGGCTAAGTGTGCCGTGCAGGCGGCCGCCAGGCAGGGGTTAGGGCGTGGGCGGGGATGCAGGCAGGCGTGGGCTCTCCACTTGCCCTACCTCCACACGTGCTGCTCATCCGGCCCTGCTTCCTACCTGCTTGGGCCTCTGAGTTGCTGCTGCAGCTGGGTTGACTGCAGGAGCACGAGCACAGCATGGGCCCTCACCACTCCGCAAGAGCTACCGTACATTAGCCTCCATGTGTGCTGAAGCGACAATATGGGTTTTGGAAGGGACATTACTGTATAAGACATTGTTGACAACAGCCACCAGTGTTGCAAATGGAGACCATTACAAGTGCCTGCCCACACACTACCAAGGTCATTATTGAATGTATAAAACCTCAACTTGAGTGGGACCCACACCACACAATCCTAAATCTAGCTTGTCTGGTTGGTTGCTTCATGCATCACGAGCTGCACCACAGAAGGGAGATGGTCGGAGGAAAGGCTTACGGTAATAGTACATGCATTCACATACAATGCCGAAACTAATGACAATCTAGGAAACTCTATGCTGCAGTGCTATGAGATGAGTAGGCGCCACCCTGCGGCTACCGTAGTAGACTGAGAGGCGAGAAGACGAAGTGGGGAGGAGGCGAGGACGCAGAAAAGGGAGAGAGGACAGGGAGGGAAGAGAGGACAGGGAGGGAAGAGAGGACAGGGAGGGAAGAGAGGACAGGGAGGGAAGAGAGGACAGGGAGGGAAGAGAGGACAGGGAGGGAAGAGAGGACAGGGAGGGAAGAGAGGACAGGGAGGGAAGAGAGGACAGGGAGGGAAGAGAGGACAGGGAGGGAAGAGAGGACAGGGAGGGAAGAGAGGACAGGGAGGGAAGAGAGGACAGGGAGGGAAGAGAGGACAGGGAGGGAAGAGAGGACAGGGAGGGAAGAGAGGACAGGGAGGGAAGAGAGGACAGGGAGGGAAGAGAGGACAGGGAGGGAAGAGAGGACAGGGAGGGAAGAGAGGACAGGGAGGGAAGAGAGGACAGGGAGGGAAGAGAGGACAGGGAGGGAAGAGAGGACAGGGAGGGAAGAGAGGACAGGGAGGGAAGAGAGGACAGGGAGGGAAGAGAGGACAGGGAGGGAAGAGAGGACAGGGAGGGAAGAGAGGACAGGGAGGGAAGAGAGGACAGGGAGGGAAGAGAGGACAGGGAGGGAAGAGAGGACAGGGAGGGAAGAGAGGACAGGGAGGGAAGAGAGGACAGGGAGGGAAGAGAGGACAGGGAGGGAAGAGAGGACAGGGAGGGAAGAGAGGACAGGGAGGGAAGAGAGGACAGGGAGGGAAGAGAGGACAGGGAGGGAAGAGAGGACAGGGAGGGAAGAGAGGACAGGGAGGGAAGAGAGGACAGGGAGGGAAGAGAGGACAGGGAGGGAAGAGAGGACAGGGAGGGAAGAGAGGACAGGGAGGGAAGAGAGGACAGGGAGGGAAGAGAGGACAGGGAGGGAAGAGAGGACAGGGAGGGAAGAGAGGACAGGGAGGGAAGAGAGGACAGGGAGGGAAGAGAGGACAGGGAGGGA